AGATCCTGTGGGACTTCCAGATCCAGACGGACAGACAGGTACTGGCCAATCAACCAGATATTGTGGTAGTAGACAAGGATCAGAAGACAGCAGTGGTGATAGATGTATCAGTGCCAAGTGATAGCAACTTCAGGAAGAAGGAGTGTGAGAAGCTGGAGAAGTACCAGGGCCTGAAGGAAGAACTAGAGAGGATGTGGAAAGTAAAAGGCCAAAGTGGTCCCGGTGGTGATAGGAACATGGGGCTGTGATTCCTAACCTGGGAGGGTGGCTCCAACAGATCCCAGGAACAACATCAGAGCTCTCTGTCCAGAAGAGTGCCATGCTAGGAACAGCTAAGATACTGCACAAACCCTCAAACTTCCAGGACTCTGGTAGAGGACCCGAGACTGAGGAAGACACATACCACCCATAGAGGTGAGAGGGGAGATAGGTAGGTAGGTAGGTAGGTAGGTAGGGAGGGAGGTAGGTAGGGAGAGAGAGAGAGAGAGAGAGAGAGATGAACTCCTTGAGAAGCAACCAAGCATATACACTTCTGTAATTAAAGTAAAACATGTATTAACCTAACAAATAATATTCCTGTAGGCTGATCTCAAAAAGCTAAAAAGGATCAGATTTGTTTAGCACTTGGATGGGAGACCACTGGAATTTCTAAGGCTGTAGGTTAGGCTGGGAAATTGAAAAAGCATCCTAGAGAAAGGGAACAGCAAACAACATATTGCTGTCACCAGGAGTTAAGCTCAACTTCAGGGAGCCTTTTTTAGAAATCAGAGGTCACCATTTGGAGGGAGGGTATTCAGTATTTGTACTGAGCAAAATAGCATCTTTACAGTGCTGCAAAGTCATACATACTCTGTCCAACGCACCCATGTAGAGTTCTCCAGCAGACTTTCCCAACTCATGGGGATACATTGGATATCCAAAGAGATTTGCCTTTTCATTCACAGCTGCCACCCTTTCTCTTCTGTTTCTGAACAAGTACCAGGCTCTTTTATCCGTCTGAACAAAGGAGTTTAATGACTGGTTGAACTTCTTAATATATTCATGAATAATTCTGGTGAAAAATAATGCAAAGAAGCAAGTCCCTGCAGGTTAATTCCAAAACCTTTAAAATGAGAGTAGAAAAAAGGTGAGAATATATTGCCCTGCATCTGGCTTTGTATCCCTCTTAGTTGCTCCATGCAGATGTTCTTCTAAACACAATACACAAACCTTTCATCAGTTTTCTGCTTGGGTGGAAATAATGGGGGATTACCTCTAGGAAAATATAAAAAGGTATTTAAAAAACAGAAACAAGTATTGTTAAGCAAAGTGGTCACTTGGTCGTTAAATGAAGCAGTCACTAAGTGAAACCACAAGCGTGCTTATGATCTTACTTCAGGTTTCCTTTGCTTTACAGACCTGAGAAGGTCATAAGTGTAAGGATTGGTCATGTAAAGTTCCTTTTTCATCACTGTCGTAACTGCAAACAGTTGCTAAATGAGGCAGTAACTAAACAAGGACTACCTGTAGTGGTGAAAGCGCTGGACTAGAACCTAGGTTCTGCATGGAAACCAGCTGGGTGACTACGGACCAGTATGTTTCAGCCCAAATCCACATCATGCGGTTGCTGTTGTGGGGAAAATAGGAGGAGGAAGCATTATGTATGGGATATAAATCTAAAATAAATGCAGTGTTGCCCTTCTATAATTTCTGTTTCAGTAAGTACAATATTAATTAGAAAAGAAAGTTGAGTTGAGCTTGATTTCTGGTGACTTAACGGGCACATCTTGTCTTCTTGACATGAATATGGAAGGAGTTCACCATTTCCTTTTTCTGTTTTTTTTTAATTTCACCATCTAGTCCCCAGCTTGGGAATTTCTCAGTGGTCTGTCATCCAAATACTAATTAAGTCCAACTCTGCTTAATCTTTTTTTCAATCAGCCAAGGTCAAATGAGTGTAGCCTCCTAGCTGGACTCACCATATTAATCAATTACTATCAAGAATATTAATACAGATAGTCCTTGTTTAGTGACCACAATTGGGACTAGCAACTCAGTCATTAAACAAAGTGGTTGCTAACTAAAACAGTGACTGTGCTTATGATCTTACTTCAGCTTTCCTTTGCTTTACAGACTTGCCAAGGTCATAAATGCGAGGATTGGTCAGAATGTTACTTTTTCATTACCATCATAACTGTGAAAGGTCGCTGTATTGTGGGAATCTTAGGGAGCTTAAAGAGCAATTGAACCCCAGAGCCAGGCCACCAATGGTCAGAAAGCTGGTGGGGAGGGTGGGAAAATTGAGTATCAGGAGGCATCAGAGGAAGAACTGGATAAAACTGCTGGAAAAGAAGGACATAAAGAACAGATCCAAGAAGACTGGGAAAAAAGAAAGAGCATTTTGGGAAGAGAGGAACAAGTGCTGAGAGAAATACTGGAAGCCATGCTTGAAACCACAATAGTAGAAGGGGGGCGGCTATTACTGGTTTCACATCCTTTTTGTTACCTGTGGGTCTTGGGTAGGCGCATCGCTCCCAATTCCACATACCAACCCTTCTCACGATGGGTCTTTATCCGCCCGCCAACACGGTCACTGGCTTCTAAGACCCAAACCTAGGAACAAACATATTACAGTAGCTTTTGCTTCCTCCTGCCCCTTTCTCACATATTGCTACTCCTCAAACAAAAGTAACAAAATCCAGATTTTTCTGGACAAGTGAAGTTTCTAACTGATAAAAGAATTCATGTTCAAACATCTGCTGGGAGGGATACAAGCAGCAGTTTTAACAGTAATTTCATCGAACAGAATGTTTCCGATTGACCCGGAGGAAAAAAAATGCCATCCACAAATAAATCTCTTGATTTTGCGTTTGGCAGAATGTTGAGATTTTGAACCCTACCATATATTAGATAACATGGCATGTTATTTATTGAATATTTATTGAGATACTGAACACTATTGTCTGCCAATTTTCAAATACTGGCAAATACTAAATTTGATGCTAGTTATCAAACAACTGGTTTTTTGCAAAGAACACTGCATTGGGAAGGGTCAGTATAGTCCACTCAAGCACATTTGTCTGTAAAAGCGACATTGGTAATTTGGACTCACTTCTGTGCTTAGCCACCTCCTTCTGTATAAAGCAGTGTTGTCCAAACTTGGCCACTTTAAGATGAGTGGACTTCAACTCCCAGAATTCCCCAGCCAGCCATGGGGACAACACTGGTATAAATCAATAGCTCCTAAACAGGGGGTAATTTAGGCATATCCTAGGGCAGTGTTTCTCAACCTTGGCAACTTTAAGATGTGTGGACTTCAACTCCCAGAATTCCCCAGCCAGCCATGGGGACAACACTGGTATAAATCAATAGCTCCTAAACAGGGGGTAATTTAGGCATATCCTAGGGCAGTGTTTCTCAACCTTGGCAACTTTAAGATGTGTGGACTTCAACTCCCAGAATTCCCCAGCCAGCCATGGGGACAACACTGGTATAAATCAATAGCTCCTAAACAGGGGGTAATTTAGGCATATCCTAGGGCAGTGTTTCTCAACCTTGGCAACTTTAAGATGTGTGGACTTCAACTCCCAGAATTCCCCAGCCAGCCATGGGGACAACACTGGTATAAATCAATAGCTCCTAAACAGGGGGTAATTTAGGCATATCCTAGGGCAGTGTTTCTCAACCTTGGCAACTTTAAGATGTGTGGACTTCAACTCCCAGAATTCCCCAGCCAGCCATGGGGACAACACTGGTATAAATCAATAGCTCCTAAACAGGGGGTAATTTAGGCATATCCTAGGGCAGTGTTTCTCAACCTTGGCAACTTTAAGATGTGTGGACTTCAACTCCCAGAATTCCCCTCAGAGTTTGTTTATTTGTTTATCATATTTATATAGCCTCCCATCTCACACAAAGTGACTCTGGGCAGTGTACAACAATTAAAAAGAATAAATACATAAAAAGTCCACACATCTTAAAGTTGCCAAGGTTGAGAAACACTCTCCTAGAGGGTAATAGAGTAATTTGTAATTGCTTGTTTGTGAATTGAGGATCCAATTTGGGACTGCTGCTGCCAAGGCACTTATGTGAAACAACACAGTCTGGTTTTGTTTTGTTTTGTGGGGAGAATGGCATTATTCAGGACTGGGAAAAGGGGTAATTGGGTCAAACAATTTAAGAACCACTGGTATAAAGTTTGAATTATACTGACCTATCTTTTTCTCTGGGAGATCATGTTGAGATGTCATGCTGGGGAACACGAAATTATTAATACAGGTAGTCCTTGACTTACGACTACAATAGGGACCAGAAAATTCATCGTTAAGCAGTGTGTTCATTAAGTGAGACATCACATGACCACAACTTGTGACCTTCCCTCCTGGCTTCTCCATTGACTTTGCTTGTCGGAAGCCAGCTGTGAAGATCACAAATGGCAAGCATGTGACCACAGGGTGCTGCAACCATCATAAATGCACGATGGTTTCCAAGCACCCAAATCATGATCATGTAGACTGCGAGGACACTGCAATAGTTATAAGTGCGAGGACCAGTCGTAAGTCACTTTTTTCAGTGCTGTCGTAACCTCAAATGAATGGTCGTAAGTCAAGGACTACCTGTATCTCTCCCCCCACTCACCCCAGGTATGTCTCCTCATTGTTGAGGGTTAAGATTGCTGACTGGTCTTTTTTCATCAACACTATTACCTGATGTCCAGCATCTTTCAATAATTTGGCAGCAGTGAGTCCACTGATTCCTGCCCCAACAATCACAATTCTTTTTGGCTTCGAAGTCTTTTCCAGCCCATTTCTGGCAATATGTAACAGTTCTTCATAGTTCGGGTCCTCAAAACATTTCCTCCAATCTTCCTGTTCATTGGCATGGTTTTCAGAGACCCAGGCAGCTGTTAGAAGTGGTATGAGTGGCAAAATTGCTAGAAAAAACCAAGCTATGATTGAAAGGTGAAGGAAAGTAGACAGCAAATGAAAATAAATCCTGAAAATATGTTTTGGCCAGCTTTCCTGAGTGAGACATTTAATTTTGACGCTATAGAACTTTTCTAGAGAAATCTTCATTCGGGTAAGTAACCATTTGGTGTTAGCTCACCAGTTGTGACAGCTGATCAGCTGGGTGAACATACAGCATGACCAACCTCATTTCAAGTAGCTTAAAGAATCAGTTAACATATTGGCCAAGGAAGAACACCAAAATCCTTTTCACAGTAATAACTGTATGATTACTAATAGCTGAATGAACAATGATCTATTTTGTGATGGTTTTTACCAAACTTTGAATTTATGTAAAAATACAGAGTGATAACCTGAGAACATCCATTTTCCTTATCCATGTAGCCATTCTATCATCCTACTTTACAAAGAATATGAAGGGGGCAGGGTCAGAAAGGATGTAGAAAAATCACAAATGGCAAGCATGTGACCACAGGATGCTGCAACCATCATAAATGCATGATGGTTTCCAAGCACCCAAATCATGATCATGTAGACTGCGAGGACACTGCAATAGTTATAAGTGTGAGGACCAGTTGTAAGTCATTTTTTTCAGTGCTGTCGTAACCTCAAATGGTCCCTAAATCTAGAGGACCAGTAGATGGCAGCAAATGGATATTTAAAATTATACATCTTTATTGCCATCTAATGGGCCTCTGGTTATTTGCAGCTATACTAACCTATGCTGTGGAGAGAGGAAAAGCTTATATTTTTCAAGGGCAGTATGCAGTTATGGTGGTTAAGATGTTGCACTAGGATCATGGGGAACCTTTCACCGTAGAACCACATTGGGTGACTTTGGGCCAGTCATGCTCTGTCAACCCAACCTACCTCACAGGATAGCTGTTGGGGGATAAAATGAAGGGGGATCCCCATGGAAGCCCCCATGAGTTCTTGGAGGAAGGTGGGCTAGCAGTCTAAAAATAAACAAATGATTTAAAACACTTCCCCTTAATCCAGTGCAAATGTTTTCCTCATTTAAGTTGCTGAACCAGAGAAATCAATCCATATTTGGGGTTGGGTGGGGGGAGGATTAAAGGATTTTAAGGGTTCTTGCTATAATAATACACTTCCCTTTCCCAGTTCTGTCAGTGGAAAAAAAAATGTCAAGAAGAACATAGAAATGAATTTTATGAATTATGGAGAACCCAGGGAATCAGATCCTTTTGTCAAGTCATGGACCATAAGTACAGCC